TTAACTTAAAACCTTTAAATAAACACACATGCACTCACACTCAGAGACAAATCGGAATATCCAGTAAGAAGCAAATGACAAATCAAAGAAAAAATAATTTAAAACAAATGAAAGAGCAGTTAGTTAGGCCGGGTAGAACTTTGAAAACCCTCAAAAAAAAATAAATAAAAATTAAAATTCTTTATAAATTCTTTTAAAGTTTAAAAATACCGTATGTAGGAATTACCGTTATTTTTGGGGTCTTCACGAAGACGTGGACCTGCAATTTTCTGTCACAGGCTGTAGTACCCATTACGAAGTGCAAATACGAAATTTGAAACAATTCCGGTGAATAATGTTGCTAAAATCATCAAAATACCGAATATAGGGAGGTACCGATATTTAGGAGCTATAGGAAGACCTGCTCAGATAATTTTCGGTCACAGACTGTATTTTTCATTAGGAACTTCAAATACGAAATTTGGAGCAATTCCCGTGTATGAAGCCGCTAAAATCATCAAAATACCGAAAATAGGGAGTTACCGATATTTAAGGGCTATACGAAGACGTGGACCTGCACAGACAAAGTTCGGTCTTAGGCTGTAGTATCCATTACCAACTTCAAATACCAAATTTGAAACAAGTTCCGTGAATAAAGGCCCTAAAATCTTCAAAATACCGAATATCGAGAGGTACGATTATATGGGGGCTATACGAAGACGTGACCCCGCACAGACAACTTCCTGTCATAGGCTGTAGTATCCATTACGAACTTCAAGTACCAAATTTGAAACAATTCCGTTTAATAATGTCGCTTAAATCAGCAAAATACCGAAAATAGGAAGGTACCGATATATGGGAGCTATACGAAGGCGTGGACCTGCACGGAAATTTTTATCTTATAGGCTGTAGTACACATTACGAACTTCAAATAACAAATTTGAAATAATTCCGGTGAATAATGTTGCTAAAATCATCAAAATATCGAAAATAGGGAGGTATCGTTATATGGGGGCTATACAAAGATCTGGACCTGCAAATCCAATTTTCTGTCATAGGCTGTAGTATCCATTACCAACTTCAAATACCAAATTTGAAACATTTTCGGTGAATAATGTCGTTTAAATCACCAAAATACCGAATATAGGGAGATACCGTTATATGGGGGATATACCAAAACGTGGACCTACATGGCCCATTTTCAATATCAAAAGTCCTGCAGACATAATATACATTTGAGTAAAATTTTATCAACCTACTTCAATTCGTTCGGAGACTAGAGTGACTTCCAACGACGGTTAGGCAGACGGGCGGTCATCGTTAAATCGACATAGAATTTTATGCTTATCAAAAATATACTTTGTGGAGTCTAAAATGTATATTTCGAGGTGTTACAAACGGTATGACAAATTTAATATACCCTCCATACTATGATTCGAAAATTTGGTCCTTCGACCTTATGTTATTAGCCTAAAAACAAACTTATAATATCAGGGACAAGCTTTAAAAATGACTTTACTTTATTTCAATAAAACTGAAAATTTGGTCCTTCGACCTTATGTCATTAGCCTGAACCAAGCTATTAAATATCATCAAATCCTAAAAAAATCAAAATTTTTGTTCTTCCTCCACATGTCATAAGCCTTAAGAGAGACTATTAATACATTACATTTTCATAAAATCGAAAATTTGGTCCTTCGACACCACATCCCATGAACCTAAAAGAAGTTGTTAAAAACGGCCTTACATCACAAAGTAAAATAGTTATAGGTATATAAATTACTTGAAAGTAAAATCTGCTTGATTTGGACACTGGCAATATTATTTTTGAAAAACATTTGGTCCTTCGACCACATTCAAACCATTTGTCACAGGTAAATACCCCATTCTCCATTGTTTATAAACAAAACAACTAGAGCTTTGCGAACTTCTCCCTCCATATGGATATATTATTCACCATTTTTTTATTGTGAATTTTTTTGCGATAAAACTAAAAAAATGCAAATTCGAGGAAAACAAAAAATCAATGTGTGAATGTGGCAGAATGAATGGCGGCATACATAAATGGCTTGTATTGACATGAATACCTTAACTTTTGTGCATTTAATTAAACTAAATACATTAATGGCCAAACAAGCTCGAGAGTTATCCAGAGTGGGTTAAACCTACCAAAAAAGGCCTAAGCTTTTGTTTCAGCCACAAGGTGACCGAAGTGAGTGACCCAAAAAAGTAAAGAAAAGAACAACACCAAGTAGAAGGTAAGCAACCAATCAGCCATCCATTCTTTTTCTTTCTTCTTGTTATGGATTAAGAAAACAAAAAAGAAAACTTAAAAATAGCTTTCATTTTCAGTTGTCTTTCGTTTACAGCCGAGAGGTGGCGAGAGAGGGCTTTAACTTCCCCACTACTGTGTTTTTATTTTCTTTTCTCAGTATCGGAATTCCATTCAAATGAAAGCAAAGCAAACAAAACACACCGAAAAAAAAATAGATTCATCTCAGTTTTCAGTATTTAAATGCATTTTCATTTCTCGGCGATTAAAAGAGGGTATCTACACAAAAGGTGATGTGGCTTGAAGATATCGCTGTTAGGTAGAAAAAAGAGTTAAACAAAGACAGACGAGGGTTGGGAAATTGAGAAAAGTAAAATTCGGTGAGTTTCAAAATAAACTATTTCCCGGGCTTCAGGCATATAAGCCAAACAGACTCTATGATATGTAAAATAAAATCGGAATATCTTCAAAAATGGTGGATGCTTTAATGATCATTTCTGCATCAAAAGTCGAAATAGTCTTTTAGATTTTAATAACACATTCCATTATTAGATTTTATCAAGTCCTAAATGGTAATTTTCGGAAGATATAAATCTGGAGGGAGCTGGTGAAAAGTCGTTCAAAAGTCGATTTTAAAATGATTATCACATTTAAAACCAGACTTTGGCTTTTCAATGTCAGAAGACGATTGTTAGAAAATCATCAAAGTCGATTTTTCTCCGGGCCTAACAAAAAAATCCTGGATAGACCTCTGAGTTAGATACTCTGCTATTATCTCAGAAACGATTCGTAGCTGGTCATAGCCTACTCCTAATACTCAACATTTTCAGTCGGGCGCGTTTTTCTGATGTGATGGATGTGACTCTGGTCCCAACTGTCTCAGATCTCACGGCTAATGGTCACGACTGTTTCAAATTTTAGGAATAATGCAGAAATGGGACTTGCCCGATAAGAGTCCTATTCAAGCCTAATCTCAACGGCATTGGCATTGGATTATCCTTATCTTAAAGTAAATGATCTCGCCTAGGCCTCATGATAGAGGTAATGGACATAACTGACCCTTATTGTGGCCCTGATCTCAAAGATGATGGTGTACGGGATAATGATCCGAATTGACCTATAGCTGAGATATAATGGTACATACAGACCCAAATATCAGTTGAGACGGGCCTTGATGACCCTGACTAGCCCTTATTTCGGAGGTAAAACTTCTTACTCATAACAATGTGAGAGATAATCATCCTAAGTGAACCAAATATCCGAGATAATGGTCTCAACTGCCTTTGATCTCATAAATAATGGTCCTGGCTGCTTATTTTCTCAATGATAGGCATTTATTTACAGATTAACATCTCCATCTACCATACTTCTATTAGCGATGATGTCCTGATAAGCAGTCGTGTCATAGGTATTGTTTCCAACTTGCCTTTATCTCAGAGAAAATGATCCTAACTGGCGCTATCTGGAGAAAGTTGTTCTGACTTGACCACTGACTGACTGACTGATAAATCGCATAGGTTTTAGTCTGCATTAGCCCTGATTTTTACTTCCCATAACCTCCAAGAAATGTTCCTGGGTGACAGTATAGCCCCCTTACCATCCTTCCCATACCTCTACCATATGTAATACTACTGCATATAAGTTATCTAAGAAATAATGGTGCTGTCAAGGTATATAAGATCCAGTCCTTGCCCTTCTTTCTGAAGTGATGGATTAAACTGCCCTGAAATGTGTCTTGTTATCTTCGAGGTGGTATTGCTGATCGAGGTTATGGAGAGATAAATGGCCTTATCGTCCTGTTCTCGAAGATAATGACCTTAATTCTTATTGCCCAAATTTCAGAGAAATGTGTCCTGTTATCTTCGAGGTGGTATTGCTGATCGAGGTTATGGAGAGATAAATGAGCTGATCGTCCTTTTCTCGAACATAATGACCTTAATTCTTACTGCCCAAATTTCAGAGAAATGTGTCCTGTTATCTCCAAGGTAGTATTGCTGATCGAAATTGTGGAGAGATAAATGGCCTTATCGTTCTGTTCTCGAAGATAATGATCCTAAATACTAATTATATCACTGATGGAGAACCCGGCTGACTTCACTTTAAAGAAAAAGATTAAAATTCTTTCGGGCCTCTTTGATTTCCGATAATACCCTCCTTTTCTCCCACAAGTTCTCCGACACCACCTGCATCTGCCAGCCCTCGTTTGTATTTGTATCTACTTCGAACTGTCCAGCGTTTGTTGCGCTTGCTCTGCAGCGGCTGGGTCTAAGGAAATTCCAATGAATTCGAAAACTTGTTTTCTTTTTTTCCAACTTCGTTTTTTTTCATTTCTTGGTGAACAGAAATATTTTTAAGCCCGACTTTATTTAGCATCGCCACAAGACAGAGAGAAAAAGTCAGTGAGAGAGAGCGAGAGGTGGCCACTAACGAAGTAGTAATAAAAAGTCATTATTGATGATGTTGTTGGTGTTGTTATTGGTTTTAGCTACAATTTGACTGCAGGCCAAATGATCTATTATTAGTTTTTGTTGTAGAAATGAGAGTTGTTGACGTTTAAAATAACTACAAATGAAACTGAAATGAAAAGATTCAAATTAAAAACTCCATTACGATTTGGGCCCTAATGGCTAATGATTTTAAATATTTATTGGCAAAAAATTCCAATGGAATTTCTTCGATCATTCATTCGTTTTTAGCTCCGGGTTTTGTGTTGGTGTTGTTTTTGTTGTTATTTTAGTATTTAATTTACCATAAATATCCAAAATATCCGGGAAGGTTATGGGGAGATTATTGAATCCGTGGAGTAATAATGGGTTTTCCGATTCGATTTGCTTCCCGCTCTGTAATCCAAGTTTTGTAATTTGTTTTGACTATTTCTTTCCTTCTTTAAATCAGTTTTTTTTTCAATAATTTATTTTTTTCACTCCACTTGTATTGTTGTTGTTTTTATTGCTAATTAGGTGTGTGTGTGTGTTATTTTTATTGATGAACTAATCCCCAAAACACAGGTCTAGAGTTTTACACTTTAAACCGTAACCGTTTCGGTTTTATTCAATTCTATTTCTTTTTTTTTTTTTTTCAATTTTCGTTTTATCCAATTTTTCTATTGATTTTAAATTCGGTTTACGCGTTGTTTTTTTTCTGCTTTCGGCTTAGCTTTTACGTTTTTGTTCTACTCTCAAATCGCTGTTTAAACCGACAACTACAACCTAATTTGTTCTTTTATTGTGAATTAAGTTTACGAAGCGCGAATAACAAACACAAAAGCGAACAGTGATGAAGAAACAAGACGGACGCGCGATACCCTAACTAAAGCGTTTACGACGGGTGCTTTGGTTTGCGAGTTGAAAACCCTCTCGGCTTAGACGAGCTCTACGTTCCGTACGTTTCAGCGGCTGAAATAACTCTACTGTACTGGCTGCGGCAACAGACGTTAGCCTAACCAGACTGGGGCTGGCTGCCTGGTTTACATTAAACATGCAGTGGCAGCACAAAATTCAACCCATACACGCAAACCAGCCAGCGAGCGAGCGAGCAGCTGTTAGCTGTTGGTTGAGGTTTAAAGGAAAAGCAACAACAACAAAGGCTGCGACGACAACGACGACCAACCAATGACGATAATAACACAGGCAATAATATCGATGATATTTAGATACTCACACAGATACTCGCCACACGAAACACTCACACACAGAGTCTTAAGATAAAAGATAATTCACCAATACCCATGAAACTACCTTTGCACTCGCTCTCTCACACTCTCCCTCTCTTCTAACTATTGTGCACGTGCTCTTAGTTAATAGGGTTTTGTTTGTGCCTGACAACAATATCCAAAGAGAGCAAGAGCAGCAAAATTTGAGAGGCTCTCCGTTAAACAAAGATATCGAAATAACTAGAATGCTTGCTAACTAAGTAACTAATCAACAGGGATGGGGAATCTGAATGTACTTAAAAGTACTTTTTGTACTAATAATCTCCATTAGAAAGCTATATTAGTTTTAATTTAACTGCCACTGAAATGTTTACATATTTGGGAGTAAAGTAAAGGTGCACTTAAAGTTAATGTGCATTTCTGCCAGTTATTTTGGTGGCAATAAAATGCAATTAATCGTCATATGATTTGCTCTCAATAAAGTAATTCTGAGATTATATCGAAAAACAAAAAACCAACACTTTTTTATACCCTCTACCTTGAAAAGAAGGTTGTAGACCCATAAAGTATACATATTTATAATCAGTATAAAATTTTAAGTCGATTTACCGATATCCGTATGTATGTCTGCCTGTTGAAATCTCGAAACAGCCCACATTATTTGACGTACAAATTTGACAGAACAAATTTTATTGTTTCTAGGATGGTTGGTATTGAAAATGAGATATATAGGTTCACGTTTTGTTATAGTCGCCATATAACAGTACCTCCCAAAATTCGGTATTTTGATGATTTTTGCAACATTTTCCCACGAATTTGTCTAAAAATTTGGTATTTGTAGTTCATAATGGGTTCTAGCTGCGGTGACATTAAATATTTAGGTCCAGGCACTTCAAAAGCAACTATTACGATCCGGCTAAAACTATTCAAATCGGAAAATATAACTCGTTCTTTATTTGGCGTTTTTATTATAATAACGGTTTTCGATTCTAGGTCTCCTTGGACCAAATCCGTTTCAGGATATTTGGAGACGATTAAGCAATGTCCGTCTGTCTGTCGGACTGGGCGCACGATAACTCTCGAAGAGAGACTATCCGATTTGGTCCAAACTTGGTACAACGTAATATTTTTGTCAAACTTAGATCGAGTTCGGAGATGAGCTATTTCGGTCCACTCCTTCCGGTACCTTCCCCACAAAAGGTCAAATTTTTCATAGAAAATAAATTACCGCATAGGAAGAGAACGAATAATCTAGTTTTGTGCAAACTTTGAAAATAGTGATATTAGCACTACCGCAAGATTGGGTGCGAGAATGAACATGATCGGACTACTACTTCTAGTACCCTCCTCACAAAGGATTCAAATTTGGAATATTTAAAACGCTCATAAAATGCGAAATGTAATGCAGATTCTCTTCAAATTTCACACATACCAATATTATTACCATTACAAAATCGGGTAAAAGGATGAAGTATAGCGGACCATTCCTTCTGGTACTTTCCCCACGAAGGGTCAACATTTTGAATAACAAAACACATATACAATGCGAAATATGAAGCCGATTATTAACTCCGCACATCTCAATATTTCTACCAAAACAAGATCTGATGTGAAGATGGGATATATCGGGCCACTCCTTTGAATACCTTCCCTACAAAGGGTCAAAATTTGGAATATCTAAAACGCTTATAAAATGCGAAATATGCGACAGATTATCTTTAAACATTATGATGTGAAAATAGGATATACTAGCTCCCACCATCTGGTACTTCCTTCTATCTACCTAGGCTATCGTTAGAGCACTCCAGCATTTAAATGTGAACAAATCTTTAGTGTCTCGTACCATCGCTCGTTACCGTTATACTGGTGGCGTAGCCCGACGTCAAAGAAGTGGACGGAAGAAAACAGAAACATCAGCAGAAATGGTTCGAAAAGTAAAGAAGCGATTTGATCGAAACCCGCGTCGCACTGGCCGAAAAATGGCTCGTGTGGTAAACATATCACAATATTCCATTTTTTAAATATTGAAAAATGAGCTCGGGGTAAAGCCATTGAAATTCCACAAAGTGCAAGAACTTACACCGCAACAGAAAGAAAATGGATTCAAAAGGGCTAAAGAGTTGCTTCGCTTGACCAAAAGTGGTGAACTGCCGAATTTGGTTTTCTCCGATGAGAAAAAATTCGTTGGCCAGCAGTTTGTAAACAAACAAAATGATCGTGTTTACTTGCCAAAGAGGTCAGTTGAAAATGTGCACCTTCGGTTGACCACCAGAACTCAAGCGCCGTGATGGTGTGGGCCGCCATAACAGCCGATGGTCGCTCTCCGCTCGTTCTAATCGACCGCAGCATCAGAATAAATACCGAATATAGTATTAAAGCCTTGGGCATGCAAACATTTTGGGCGCAGACCTTAGATATTCCAACAGGACTCAGCTCAATCCACACAGCAGGCGCCACCAAGAATGGTTACAAAATGAGGTTCCTCTCTTCATTTCCAGCGCACAATGGCCACCAAAATCTCCGGATACCAATTCGTTGGACTATTGTGTCTGGAGTATTTGGGAAAGCAAGGTTGGCACTAAAAAATGGGCCAAAATACAGCAGAGCAAAATTCGGGCAGCGTGTAACGATTTCATTAGCCGTTTGAAGGCCATAATTCGTGCCGAAGGTGACCAATTCGAAAAATCTAAACTTTTTATAAAATTTGATGCTATTTCCGACATTTTTTGCTTTCATTCAATAAAATTTAAAAAGAATGTAAAAATTATAGCTCTTGACTTTATTCCACTTTTTTATCTCACCCACATTACATTATTATCCAAAGCTGTCACCTCCAATGATTATATCAGACTAAGGTCATAAACGAAATGGCTAATATTCTTCTACTCCATCGGTAGCTCTCCTATAGAGTGTCAAAACACTAATGAAACATGTCGAAATATATTTAAATAAACAGATAAAGACTGAGAGCATCAATATGTCAGCAATACTGACGGATACTCTTTAAATTGTTTTCTTTTGATATCAGCTATTTATGAAGGATTTAACAAACCTCTGGAGTAGTAAAGTACTATTAAATTTATTTATTTTTTTATCAATTTTTCAAAATTTCCATTTTTTATTCCTGATTTATAAGTGGGATAATAGATGTTCTTTAATTATCGGCGGAATAATTCACGGTATTACATTAGTACCTTTTCCGGCACGAAAAAAGGTACAAAGTAAAGTTTTCCATCTCTGTTCAACAATGGTCAAATAGAAACGTGTAGATTTATCTCCTCAAATGACAGATAGGTTCCTCTCTCTCTCATAGTTGCATTCCCATGAGGTAATACTAAATATTTAATAAACTAATTGTAAGATAGATTGCAAAGAAATTGTATGTCCGTCCTAAAAAATTATTTACTAATTTACTAACTAAAAGATTTTGATAGGTAAATTTTTCAATTTCAAACTCCGTTTTCATCCCAGAGATCTCACACATGGCTGCTGCTTCATTTAAGCTGTTTATTGTAATTCTCTCCCATTGATGATTGCCCAGATAATTTGCCTCTTCAGGTATGCACTGCGTATCTGTGTGAGTGTATTTGATTTTTTGCATCTTGCAGGTAAAAATCCATGTCAACATCTGCGTGTCAAATGTTCCAGCGTTTCTCCTGCTTTTCTTATTTTCTTTAATTACTAGCGCAATAGTAAATCTTTTTGTTATACCAATAAAAACAAATGTCATATGGCCACAAGTTTTGTTTTATTTTCGGAAGATAAGATATTAGCGTACGATAAGAATTGTTTAAGTGGTGTTTCCAACTAAGAGTTGGCAATGACACTCAATTGTTAGATGAGAATACTTTAAGAGAGTGTTAATGGGTTGTTTTTGAGATGGGAAGGTATGCTTACAAGCATAAGTACTTTTTGTTTGAAGAAATTTGATATGTAAAAATTATGATACCTAGGGAAGTTTAAATTTAATTCGAAAATTCGTTTTTATCCGTAAAAGCTTAGGTTTGGAGAAGTGTTGAAATTATAGGTCAACGTTGCGAGCGGGAGATAAAGAGGCTAATAAATAATTTTGCCTTAGGGCACAATTGTAGTTCGTTGTGTCCACGAACATGTTACGGCACTTTTTTTTAACTTAAAGTAGTAGTAGAATAGTTATGTTAAGCCATTTAATCTATGTTAGTATTAAAATTTGAATTATTAAAATGGATTAAAGATTACCCGACTGAATTGAATTGTTCAGAATTCTCTAAATCAACCTGTCTCCATTCATTTACAATTAATGGTATAAAAAGTATGTCTATTTATTTGGCCTGAACTCAACAATTGAACCGACTTTGTCTGAATTAGGAATAACCCCAATACCATCTTGAAGGTGTAAAATTCCAAAAAATAAAGAATAAATAGTTCCAGAGATCTTCCTGGATGTTTAGGGCTCACACATAAAATTGATAATCAAATGTTTAAAACTTGTCCGAAGGTTTGTGTTTTTGGCGAACTCGAACAGTGTGGCGTGACACTGTTGTATGGCATAACCAGTTCTGATTCAAGCCTAGACTAATAAGCCTATGACAATATTTGTGATTAACAGAGCACAGGAGTATATCTGGAAAGTATTTGACATTCGAAAGCGATATCAAATTCTATCACTACCTAAGGCCTACTTCATCGTTTCCGAAGCCTGGAAAATAGAAAGTTCCACGTTTCGGAAACGATGAAGCTGGCTAGCGGCGGTCATTTGGTAATGCACTCGACCCCCGAATTGTTCAGGTGTTTCGAAAATACTATATAGATTCCGTCCGAGCCCTTGTCTTGGAAAGACTTAACCCT